AGGTACAAACATTTTTAAATAGAACATGTATATACAACTAATCACAGCATGACAAATTGGGTCCTGTCAAAAAATAACTTTATTCATAAAAGTATATGATTAATAGAGTAAAAAAAGAAAAGCCATAAGTAGGAATAAAGAAATTATCACAACAAATCCTGTCATAAGATATTCATCTCCAGACTTATTTTATGTAAATTCAAGAGGTGAGTTCCATAGTATGAATGAACTGAAAATTTCATGTTCATTTCTCATTATTGGGATTGTTTCAGTTTGGGAAATTAACAGTAAAGTTGCTATGAACATTTTTGTACATTTTTAATGATATTTAAGTCATTTTCTTGGTTATATAGAGTTGCTATGCTCTGTACCCATTCAATGTACATCAGTGCTGCCCAGCTCTTTTCAAAAAATGGTTGAACTAATGTACCTTTGCACTTGCAATATATGAAAATCTGGTTAGTCTACATTCTTATCAACACTTGATATTGTCAGCATTTTCATTTTTAGCCTTTGGAATAAGTGCATAGCAGTACCCATTGTGAGTTTCATTTGCTTTTCTCTGTAAATAATGAGACTGCACACATTTGCACAAGCCAACTGATAATTTGTGCATCATCTTTTATGGTGAGGCTTCTTATCTTTTGCCCATTTAAAATTTTATCAAATTTCTCTCAGTTTGAATTTTGTCTGTTATTTTCTCATAGGTAGATTCAAGTGATGGAATTTTATTAGGAATACTATGGAATAATGTATAATATTTCCTCCTCAGGGTCTCATCTCAGATGCACACAATTTGTCCCAACATTAGTGATGTAAACTAGATCCCTTGGCTAAGGTGATTATACGAAATTGTTCATTGATGGGATACTAGAGTTACTTTGTAATTAATAAATATCCTGCAACAATTATTGCTGCAGTAGTTATCACATTTTTATGTCTAATTTCATAGTATGTTCTACATTTATTAATTGAACTTCGACCTTAAGAAAGGCTTTCCTTTTTGTCACTCATTCATTTGTCCAGCCATTTACTTAATTTAACTGATCTACTTAATTTAATGTCGTTCTATGAATTATAGTAAACACTAAGTTTTGTTGCTTGATTATACACACTTGGCCAGCAGTTTGGTTTGCCAGACCTATCAGGTTGGTTTCCCTGTATGTTGGCATACTTCTATCAGTCTTCGGCACTTACTTTTGGTGCTCAGTGTGACTCATGCCCTAGTCCTCAATGTTTTTTTTATGCCTGGAGGTTCACATTTACATCCCAATTATTATCCCTCTGTCACTCCTCCAGCAAACTTATAGTGAAATTCTCACAGAACTGCTGAAAAAATGTGGGGATGACCAGACTTCATACAGTTCTCTTATCTTCTTCCTTGTGAAAAATCCTAATACTCACAGATCTTTTGTGATTTTAAAGAGTGCCATTTCAGGTATCAGGGCCAAATGAGCTATGATTGGGTAGATAGTTGACTTTCTAGTTCAATCCAAGAGACAAGCAGCTAATGATAACCTTTCTTAGAGGAAATCCTAATAGTGCTGGACCACATCCTTCCCCCTTCCCAGAAGCTGCTCCTAAGGGAATGTGTAGGACAAAGGACAATTACTGAGCTTCACTCTCCCACAGGACCCCTTGGTGTGCTCTTGCTGAGGATACTTGGGAAATAAATAGACAGCACAAGTTCCCTTATAGCCTGACACTGAGATCACTAGGGTTATAGCTGATGTTAATGAAGAAAAACCCTGTCTGCCATCCTGGAATTGTGGTATAGGAACAGTTCCTGCAGTTAAGGCATACCCTTGGACATGATAGATATCTAATATCATACCACTTGGACATCATACCACTTTGACAGAGCCTGTTAATTATGTTCATTACTCGACAGAAGGACAGGACAGACTTTGAGTACACAAGTTTAATTATTATGTTACTTTCCACTTACCTAGAGGATTGAAGAAAAGCAATATGTCACTGATTACAGTGAACAAGACAGACACGGACAGAAGGTAAGCTTCATAGCTACATAACACAAGTCCTAGTATTGTTCCATGTGCAATAGAATACAAGGATAAAACATATCCTGATGTTATGAGGATATGAAGGTAAATCGAATAAGCTCTCCACCTCTGAGGTATAGGAATCAAACAGGAGGTAAAAGACCTAACAGTTTGATAATGCAAGTATAATGAAGTCTTGACACTTGCACTGTTCGGGAGGAAAGATGATGTCACCAGAAGACAAATGATCCCCTAGGCAGTTTATGGGAGTCACCAAATGAGAGGCACAGAAAATAGGTGATGCAAGGGATGATGGTTCAGTTCATGGAAGATGTGGTGGTGGAAGGTTAGAGAGTTACACCTGAGAAGAGAAATCACATATTGCACAAAAATGAACAACAATATAAAATAAAAAATAAAGCCACAATGCTAAAAAGAAAAGAAAATAGAGGAGATGGATCCAGACTTTTAGGATGGCTGTGGATTTCATTTTCCAGCCCCTTTTGGAAGATTCAATAAGTTGGGAGAAAAGGGAGTCTGGGTTTGGACTGAGAAACTCACTCCTCTGAGACTGATCGTTGTCATTATGTGGGCTTAGGTTAGGGTAGATATGGAGAACGTCTACTATTACTTGTTCTGAAATAAGGCAAGCCTATAGTTGGAGACATACAATTGAAGATATCTAAGCTTCAGAACTTTGGTAATATTGGATCTGTGAAAAGCACCCCTCTATCCACTTACACAAATTCAGGGAAATCACCTTTTATTTCTCATGTTTATGGCATCAGTGTCCTGAAGACAAAATAGAGGAGTAAGATTACAAATCTTCTAGTGTTTCTGCCTCTACTCAGTCCCCCTCTGTTAATTGGGTACCACATGAGGAAAATAACACACAGGGGCACTGACTTCCTGGAGTTTTGATCCTGAGGGTAAAACTAGACTTAAGTAGTACAAATTATAGTGGTGATCAAAGGGGCTAGTGAACATTAATATCAAAAGAACTAGCAAGGAGCTGAAAGTTTGAGAGATCCTCACTGCACTGAAACCTCTAGGATGATCAGGACTCAATGAAAGATTGGGGTGGGCTGGTGTAGGAGGTGATTAGATACAGTACAGTGTTCCAGGCAGTATATCCACAGATGAGAACTAGGGGTTCCTGTATATTCAAAATCTAGTATCACATTTGATGCAAACATAGCAGCTACAGTTTCAGACTGATGATGTTGATGAATTGACAGATCATAGAGAGAAAGTACTGTCAGGCTGGAACTGATGGAGGGAACTCAAGAGACACAGGATGGCATGTATAGAGTCCACAACTGGGGAGACCTGGATCAGCATGGTCAACCAGTTGTCCAGTAGGAAGCTATTTGATGCCAATATCAGGTCTCTTCACCTTTCTCTCTTATAAAGCACCAGACACCAGTGGTCAGCATTAGCAGTCACAAAAGTAAAGAGCTGATCTAGATCCTGCTGATAGCATTGTGTGGCCTTGGGCCAGTTTACACAGTTTGAGTCTCAGTGTCCGCACTTAGAACCAGATGGTAGCAGTGCCCACTCCCAGTATTTCTAGGGGGTATTTAGGAAGTTCCTGGGTCAGGGTGCTTAGAAGAATTCATTGAAGTAAGTTCCCTCCCTTTTGAGCTGCCCTCCCCATCATCCCTACCTGGACAGGGATATTCGGTCAGGAACTTACTTTTCAGATAATGCATTTTACTTGTAGTGAGTGTGTCTAGGCTCTGTTTCTGTACCAAAGCAGTTTATTCTCCTCCCCTCTTTCTGTTCCTATCACTTGGGGGTGGGGGGGGGCAGAATTGCTTACAGAGTACAGAGCAGAGCCCCTTCCACGACCTCCTCTCCCCTGCTCATCTCTGCAAATTCACTGAGACTCTGCGCCTAGAGTCTTCCCCAGTGCATGAGTCTGTACCTCCTTGACTACTGGCCTTAACTCTTCAGTGGTCACTCAGTTTTCCTTCCTGCTACTTTGTCAGTGGGATGAACATGAGAAGTTGCAGTGCTGTGAAGGCTGTCTAGCCCATCTTCCTTTCATTCAGGAATCTTCTCCCCAGTGTCCAAGGATGTCATCCTTCCTTTGTTATGAACTGATGACAATAAGGATCCTCTCCCCCCATCAAAGCAATGTAAACCTATAAAAGAAAATGTTATATTGTGTCATGGAATTAATAACCATGACATGTTGGAAAGTAACTGGGGTGTCAGTGTGTGGGTGTGTTTTCAGTAAGGAAGTCAAAAGATACCTCTCTGTGGAGAACAGTTTGAATTGAGACCTAGTAGTTTTATTAATCAGGGTTTAATGATTCACCATTTTCTTGCATGACTATGTAATTTCATGAATACCATTTAACACTTTGAAAGTGCACATCATTCACTCACCACGAAGGTCCTGGGCTGATATGTTACCAGGGCACTATGTTATTATATTCCCCCCTTTATCCCCCTAATAATCATCATATTTATCAGAATCTAAGAGTTATTTTTGGTTTTTAAGTATGAACAATATCTCTTTTTGCCAAGATACTCTTTGCAGGAAGAAAAAAATTTTGAACTCACCCCCAAAATGGAGATTGAAGATTAGAGTTGAGGTTTTAGTTTGATTCTACCACTAAACTATGTGAATTTGTCAAGTCCTTACTATATAGTTTGTCTAAACATCAATTTCCTCATATATAAACGAAGGTAATTGAAGATGGCTGAAAGGGTAGAGAACCTGAATCAGGGAAGAGGGAAAGGAAGAGGGAGAAGAAACTAAAATTAAGGAAATTTGGGGAAAATATATATTATTGAATTCTACTTACTAGTGCATCACATTTAGTAGGTTACAATAAAAATATAAGTACATATAGGATGTGATCATATCAACATACTAAGGTCATTTATCTTTCTCTAGAGAATGTCACATTCATCAATCATTAGAGTCAAATACATTTAGAGAATTTTGGTGCCTTTCAACCAAATTCTTTCCCTGAACTTAGGGTCATGGAAGGAGGAAACCAGACCAGCAGCTTTGAGTTCTTACTCTGGGGACTCTCAGAACGGCCAGAGCAGCAAGGTGCCCTCTTCCTAGTGTTCCTGTGCATGTACCTGGTCACTGTGGCCGGCAACCTGCTCATCATCCTGGCCATTGCCACTGATGCCCATCTACACACTCCCATGTACTTCTTCCTTGCTAGCCTGTCCTGTGCAGACATCCTTTGGGTCTCTACCACTGTGCCCAAGGCCCTCATGAACACCCAGACCCAGAGCAGGTCTATATCCTATGCGGGGTGCATGACCCAGCTCTATTTCTTCTTGACCTTTGGGGACATGGACAGCTTTCTGTTGGCCACAATGGCCTATGACCGCTATGTGGCCATCTGCCACCCTCTCCACTATACGATGATCATGAGTCCCCGCCGCTGTACCCTTCTGATCACTGCCTGCTGGACCCTCACAAATCTTGTTGCCATGACCCACACCTTCCTCATATTCCGACTTTCCTTCTGCTCTAAAAAAATCATTCTGGACTTCTACTGTGACCTGGGACCTCTCATGAAGGTGTCTTGCTCTGACACTCAGGTCAATGAGCTTGTGATGCTCTTTCTGGGAGGCACAGTCATTTTAGTACCTTGTATACTCATCCTGATCTCTTATATCCGTATTGTTACAGCCATTCTCAGACTTCCCTCTGCCCAGGGGAGGTGCAAGGCCTTCTCTACCTGTGGGTCCCATCTTGCTGTTGTTGCCCTATTCTTTGGAACAGTCATCAGGGCTTATCTGTGCCCCTCATCCTCTTCCTCCAACTCAGTTGAAAAGAATACAGCAGCTGCTGTGATGTACACAGTGGTGACTCCCCTGCTAAACCCCTTCATTTACAGCCTACGGAACAAGGACATGAAGGGAGCTCTGGGGAAGCTTCTCAGGGGACAAGTCTCCTTTTTGAGGGGCCAGTAACTTCTTCAGAGAAACTATAGTTGTCTTTTGAGGAACTTCAGCGAAATTGCTACCTCAAATGCCTCATTTCTAAATCCTATACGTGCCTTATCATCATTCTCTGTCTGAATACCTACTATCAGTTGGGAAGTATTTAAAAAAAAAGTCAAGATTTTGCTTCATGCTTTAATTTAATCTACTAAGAGTTGATTTTTTACCCATTCATTTTACTTACAACTTTTTAAAAGGGGAAATGTTTTTTTTGTAATGTTCATCGTTTCAAAAGTATGCATAATCTTTCATCTAGGTTATCAAAAACTCTATCACTGGAGTCATTGAAAGTGAGTAGATGATAAAAATATTAGCAAGTAAGTTCAATAATGAATGAGAGTTTACAAATTTAACTGTAAACATGTTGAGTGCAAACATACCTAAACTATTAAATTTTTTCCTTAAACACTTATTGCCTGAAGATTATGAGTCAGAATTCTTTGTAATTATTAACAAAATACTCAACAACCTGGAATGATTTGTTATTTTCTGTAATATGAATAATTGAAATTCAATAAATTTGTCACTAATTGTCTTCCTTAGCTGCCAGTTATGACTGATTATGTAAACAGTAAAAGAATTTTCTGTCTTCTCAAGATTCTTTTGTTAACATTTGTGATATTTTGCCTCAGCCAAGACAAAATAAAATATAATTAGGGTTTATGATGTTTATCTCTTCAGTGTAAAATTTACAATTCTATGCCAAGGCACAGTGGATGAAAAATGATGGTGTAAAATGGGTACATGGAACAAACCCACTAAAGAGCTTCAGGGATTAGTTACCAGGAGTCCAGACTCTAATGTAGTTGTTTCCATTTTTTGTGTAAGTCCAAACTTTTCCTTTGGGAATTGAAATTATAGGTATTTGTCTTGACTATATAACTGGATTTTGTAGGGAAAAATATCTATGGTTTAGGTATTAACAACAAATCTAATTTTAAAAAGTTGGATATTCAAGGAAGCAATTGATACAAAAAATTCCTTGAGTCAAATGAAAATGAAATGGCAACAAACTTAATGTATGGGTTGCAGCAGAAGCAGTTCTAAGCAGGAAGTTCATAGCAAAAGAGGCACACCTCAGGAAAAAAAACAAGAAAAGTCACCCGAAGGAATGAGAAAAAGAATGAATGAAGCCCAAAGTTAGTAGAAGAAAGGGAATACTAACGATTGGAGCAGAAATAAATGAAAGAGACTGGAAAGATCACAGAAAATGTCAATGAAAATAAGAGCTGTTTCTTTGAAAAGATAAATAAAATTGATGAAGTCTTACCTGGACTCCCCAAGAAAAAAAAGAGGCTCAAAATAAATAAAATTAGAGTGATTAATGAGATAATACAACAGATATCACAGAAATACAAAGAATCATAAAACATTTATACCAACAAAATCTATAATCTAGAAGAAATAGACAAATATCTAGAAAACAATGCATTCTTCCATGAAGAAATGAAAGGTTTGAATGACCCAACTTCTAATAAAGAGATTGAATTCACAACCAAAACCTCCCTAAGAGTAAAATTCCAATGTTAGATGGCTTCAAGAGGGGTAGCTTCTAAATATTCAAAGAAGACCTAATACCGCCCTTATCGAACTCCATAAAAAATTTAAACATGGGATGGTTCTAAATTTATTTTATGAGGTCAACATCAACCTGATAATTAAACCATATGATATAACACATGAAAAAAGAAAATTACAGCTCTGCACCTGGTTACTATAGATGGAAAAATTCAACAAATATTGGCAAACCAATGTAATATTTAAAATGATCATCTACCATGATCAATTTAATATTTAAAATGATCATCTCTGAGATTTATTCTAGTGTTGAAAGGATCGTTTAACATTTGCAAAACAGTCAGTGTGACATACCAGATTGACATAAAGAAACAAAAAAGTCATATGATCATTTCAATAATGCTCTAAAAATAATAGAAAAATTTGTCATTCATATATGTTAAAAGAAAACTCTCAGCACAGTGGGTTTTGAAACAACACACCTTAACATAATAAAGGCCATTTATTAAAAACCCATGGATAATATTTCACTCAATGGTGAAATACCTTCTTTCTTAGAAACAAGACAATATCCACTTGCCACTTTTATTCAATGTAGTGTTGAAAATCCTTATGAGAGGATTAGGTGGGACAAAATATAAGAAACATCCAATTGGAATTTGGATAGGGTTGGAAAGGAAGAAATAAAACATCACTATTTGCAGATTCTACATATGGGAAACTCTAAAAACTACAAATGAATTCAGTAAGTTTGCTGGCTACAAAAATCAATATATAAAAATCTTTCATTTTATACACAATGAAATATCAAAAAAAGAAATTAATAAAACAATCCTATCTACACTGTATAAAAAAGAATAAAATTAACCAAATACATTTAGGAATAAAGTTAACCTTAACCAAAGGGGAATAGTAATGCAGTTAACCAGGTAGGTCAATAACCTGTACACTGAAAATTATGAGACATTGATGAAAGAAATCAAAGAGGACATAAGGAAAAGAAATAGTTCATGTTCATTTTACCCAAAGCATTCAGTGTGATCCTAGCAAAAGTCCAATGATGTAAAGTGAACAAAAAAATCCTAGTATTTGTATGGAGCCACAAACATCATAAATAACTGAAGCAAATAACTGAAGCGAAAGAAAGCAAGAAAGAAAGAAAGAAAAAAAAAAAAACAACTAAGCCAGGGTATCACACACTCTGATTTCAAACTATACTACAAAGATATAATAACCAAAATAATATGGTATTTGGCATAAAAACAAACAGAGACATAATTCAATGGGACAGGAAATGACCTAGCAATAAGCCATATATGGCTGATTAATTTATGACAAGGGACAAAAAAGAGAAAGAAAGTAGGGAAAGGATGCTTTCTTCAATAAACGGTATTGGGAAAACTAGACAGCCACACACAAAAGAATGAAATCAGACCACTCTTTTACACTTAACAAAAAAAAACTTGAAATGGTTAAATACTTGAACATAAGCCTAGAAATCACAAAACTTCTAGAAAAAAAAAAAAGATGATCACCATTTTGACACAGTTTTTAGCCAGATATTTTGGATCTGACTCCTGAGATGAAAGAAACAAAATCAGAAATGAACAAATGTTCTATATCAGAAAAGCAAACAGAAAACTATACAGTGAAGGAAAACATCAAGAAAATGAAAAGGCATTGGGAAAAGATACTCACAAATTATACATCCAATAAGCCTTTGATATCCAAATGTATAAAACGCATGCAGCTCAGTAACCATAAAGCTAGTAATCCAGTTAACAAATAGGCAGAGAATCTGAATAACTACTTTCCTAAAAAAGACATACAGAAGGCCAACAGGTATATAAAAAGGTGATCAAGTCACTAATATTGATGAAATGAAAATAAATACCATTACTCAATATAGTTTCACACTGTCAGATGGCTACATCAAAAAGCTAGAAATAATAAGTGCTGGCAAGGATGTGGAGAAAAGGGAACTCTTTTATGCTGTTGTTGGGAATGTAAATTGTTACATCCATGGTAGAAAATATGGTGGGGTTCTTCAAAAAAAAAAAGTAAAGAAAAAAACCAATTTTTTAAAAAAACCTCAAAAACTTAATTGGAAAAGATATTTGTATTCCTATATTTATCAAAGCATTATTTACAAATGTTAAGATACAGGAAAAACCAAACTATCCCTTGAGACATGCATGCCTAACGAAGATGTGAGATCATACTCACAATATAATATAACACAATATAATATAATATGTTATCTGGATGTTGAAATGCTACAAGTCATAAAAAAAAGAAATCTTGATTTTTGCAACTATTGATGGAACAGGAGGATATTATTACTAAGTGAAGTAAGTCAGAGAAAGACAAGTATGGTGGGAAAGCAGTATGATATGAGAGAGGATAATAAATAAAAGTGGCAAAATCGAGAAAATAAGAACAATGAAGAAAGAGAAACAAATGAAATATATTTCATGAAGTAATGATAATTTCAAGAAGTAATTGATTTTCCAGAAACACAGTATATGAGTAAATTCAGGATGAAGACGCCATGAAGTTCCAAAAAAGGAATGAGGAAAAAATTCTCAATGCACTTTTATTGGGACTTAAGACCACAAAAAATTTTAAAGTTTTTTAAACTTGAGATAGTTGAACTGTTAATTCTTCTTCTCTGGAATTAACTATGATATAACCTTTGTTGTTTCATTTTTATGTATACTTTTATAATTTAGGTCAAAATTGTGCACTTTTTTTAATAGAACACTTGCTATATGTCAGGTTCTAGTCTAAGTGTTTTTATATGTATTTAATTCTCTTTGATCTTTCCAGCAGTCCTATTTTTAAGTGTGGTACTGTTTTTTTTTTTTTAAATAATAATATCATAGTTTATTTTTACATCATTTTGTGCCTTTTTCCATCTCAGTTGTAATCGCCATGGGCTTCCCATCACCACATCACCTGTGTGCCATCACCATAGTCCAGTGCACTTCCCTCCCCCCACTTTTTTTGATCCCATTCCCCACTCCACTCCTGTAAAATTTCCCTCTTATATAGTTGTTCATTATTATTATTTGCTCGCCTGGTCCTTTATACTCCTGCTATGAGTGAAACCATTTGATATTTTTCCTTTTCCTTTCTTACTTCACTAAGCAGCACTCATACAATATTTAGCATTGTTTTGCATGTTTTAATTTTTACTTCAATGGTGTCATCCAACATGTATTATGATACTTGCCTTTTTCTTGAAATGATTTAAGCAAGAAGATGATAGATTCAGACTTTAAGAAAATTAAATTACTATGTAGACAATTGGAAGGAAAGAGACAAGAGAAGCAGAATATCCACAAAGCAAGGATAATAGATCACAGTGTCGTGTTAATGCAAAAAGATAAGAAACAAAATGCAATTTGGACCAGCAATGACCTTGGACTCATATATGTTCTATTGTCTAC